GCAAATACCTGTGCTGCAGGTTCAATCCAGGCCCTGGTTGGGACATGTTTCTGGGGGCAACCGACCAATGTGTCTCTCTCACATCAATGTCTCTCCCTCTCCCCCCCCCCCCCCCTCTCTCTCTCTCTCTCTCTCTCTCAATCCCTTGGGACTTTGGTCCTACAACTGTACGCTGTGCCTGCTGTGCCACAATCTGATCCTATATCAATCCAACCAGTCACAACAGGAAAAGCAGAGCAGGAGACTGGCCCGGGAGTGGGAGGGACCAGGAAGTGAGGAGAGGAGAGAAGGCAGAGCACAAAAGGGAGTCACCGGGGAGGACCGAGAACCTCAGAGGTCAGAGCAAAGCACAGGTACCTTTTTCAGAAACGCTGCCGCTGTCTCCCTCTTTGTCGCTGTGATCCGCTTCACCCCGTCCGGGGACTGAACGCGGATGATCTGTTGTAAATGAAACAAGACGGTCACTACCGGCTAGGAACCGGCTCTATCCCCAGGGACGTGTGCAGTCTCTCGCGCCCCCTCCCCCGGCAGTGCCCACCAGTGTGCCCAGGTGAAGCACAGGGCGAAGTCCGCTGATTCCCAGCTTTCTGTCTCACTCAGAAACACACCGCTCCAATTCTTAGCCGTCACTCATAGAGTGTATCTGAAACACTGACATTTTTATCCTCAGATTCCAAAAAAGGGAAGGAAAAAAGCCCACCATGAATCATGAATGACTGGGTTCCTCAAAAAGACCAAACTTTGTTTCAGGATCTATACACACACATTAGACTGATTTAAAAGCACCAGCCCTGGCTGGTTTGGCTCAGTGGATAGAGCATCAGCCTGTGGACTGAAGGGTCCCGGGTTCGATTCCCGGTCAGGGCACCTGCCTGGGTTGCGGGCTTGATCCCCAGCGGGGGGCATGCAGGAGGCAGCCAATCAATAATTCTCTCTCACCATTGATGTTTCTATCTCTCTCTCTCCCCTCTGCTCTGAAGTCAATAAAAAGGTATTTTTTAAAAAAGTACCAGAGGAAATCTAGCTTGTCATTTACCTTCCCCGCCTCCTTGGGGTGCTGGGGCAGGGCTGTCATTTACTTGTAGTAAAGATGAAAAAAAATGTGTGTAATACGGTGATAACACTTAGCAGGATTTTAAGAAAATGTAAAACGGCATCATTTCCAGGACTTGACTTCATGCTGATCAAAGCCTTCGGAAGGTGAGTGACTACCTGGCAACTGCGGGGCAGGAGACAGCAATGCCTGCCGCCAGACAGGTGCCCTCCAACCACCTGGGGGGGGCGTGCCAGACAGAATATGCCGGAACGCTCCCCGCAGCAACCACGGCACTGCACTGTCTGAAACACTTTACGGGTGAAAAATGCCACAAGCCCTTGTTTTAAAAAAAGATTCACCGACAGACAAAATGCCACAGCAGCTTCAATCTACGCTCTGCTCTCATCAAACCAAGAATCATCCAGCTTTTCCTAAAACAGCTCGGCCGTCCTCGTATTCTATCCGCTTTCACTGGCCTGAAGAGGCTTTGCCCCACATTCCCCTCCATTTTTACGGTTGTTTTCTATGCTCCCTGTGACACCCGCTGTCGGGAGCATGAATATCCTCTTCCTTCTTACTGCCTGGCTGCCTGTGTAGCTTCCTCCCTCATCCGTGGGCAGCAAACAGAGGCTTTGGCTTTGGCTTCCGGCTACCTGGGAGCCCGCTCTGCTGGGGCAGCGCCTCCCTGTGACCCTCCGCGGGAGGAGCCCAAGGCCGGCTCTCGGGCGTGGGGACAGTGGGGACAGCGCTGAGCCGAAGAGTCACTCCACTGCAGGGCTACCGGCTACTGCAGGGCGTGTGCCTGGCCCCAGGGGAGCCCTGGCCCCGCCTCTACTGCGGCCACAGATACAGCCCACACCCAGGGCGGACCTGCAAGGGGACACAGCCCTGGTGGCGAGGCTTCCCTGCTTCTGAGTAAATGGCTGAGAGCTCCTCGGGGAAGTCTACGAACTGCCAACAGGGGCGATGCCCACACAAGTGCTGAGAAGGCCGCTCTCAGCTTTAACAACCACCACCTGCCGGGCCGCGGGGCTCCGGGCTGAGCGGTGACCTGTGAACCAGGAGGTCCCGGTTCCATTCGGGTCAGGGCACAGGCGGGGGCTGCAGGCTCCATCCCCAGGGCGGGGCGTGCAGGAGGCGGCCGGTCCATGACTCTCTCTCATCATGGATGTTCCTCTCTCTCTTCCTCTCTGAGATCAATAAAAATATTAAAAAAACAAAAAACTTTGGAATCAGTTTCAGAAAAAGGAAGACCACCCCTGTCGTCCCCCACAACCTGGGGAGCTGGCCCCACACGCGGGCAGGAGCACGGGCCGCCCCTGCGGGGAAGGGCAGGGCTGCGGGAGGCCGGTCTCGGAGCCCCCAGCCCGTTTCCAGGGAAGCCGC